CAGAATAGTGCATGTACTATATATATATATACAGTATATAAAGAGCCTGGCCTTTGAAAGGCAAGACACATCTGGCCCAGCCCCAATACTGTTTAAAATATGTCTGTCTTCACCCTTCAGTGGCATGCAAGAGAAAAGGTAATGCACTGCTTTTACCTAGTCCTAACCTGACTCTTGCTATTCTTTATTGTAAAGGTAAAGGTTCCCCTTGACAATTTTTGTCCAGTCGTGTTCGACTCTAGGGAGTGGTGCTCATCCCTGTTTCCAAGCCATAGAGCCAGCATTTTGTCCAAAGACAATCTTCTGTGGTCACATGGCCAGTGCAACTTAGACACGGAACACTGTTACTTTCCCACCGAGGTGGTCCCTATTTATCTACTTGCATTTGCACGCTTTCGAACCACTAGGTTGGTGGGAGCTGGGACAAGCGCCGGGAGCTCACTCCGTCGCGTGGATTCGATCTTACGACTGCTTGGTCTTCTGACCCTGCAGCACACAAAGGCTTCTGCGGTTTAGCCCATAGCGCCACCACGTCCCACGTCTTTATTGTACTCCAGAAGAAATACAATAACATGTTTTGCCTTCTGCCACACAACAGGCAAGAAACTCAGGAGCCAAGGCAGAACTGATCACCAACAGAGAGAAAAGGAAAACTAGATATATGAGATTGTGCAACTAATTCCTAATTAGAACTTTTTTTCCAGAATACAGCTTTAAGCCAACAAGGTCTTGTTCTTTAGGGTTTAAGACTTAGCAAGAAGGTTTTTATACAGTAATTTCAACTGTGAGCCTTAGAGAGCATTATTCTTGCTTTGGTCTTCGCTATAACACATTCCAGATGAAGGGACAAAGTTACGCAACATTTATCTGGCAAGGGAAGTGCTACTGGGGTACGGCACTGGCAGCAAAACAGCAGCAGAGAAACAGTTAAGTTCCTTCTCACCTGACATATTCTAAATCTCTTTTTTTCCCCAAAAAAATTATATGGGGCACCAGGACCTTTTTAAAAAAACACACACTGTGAGGAATACAAAGTTGAGTTCTCAACCAGAAATGCACTTGGCGATCTTCATCAAATTACTTTCTTTTACCACTCATGAAATAAGGGCAACTCAGACCATGAGTGAACACCAAGAGACCTGCAACCAAAACGGAGCCAACGGTCCAAAAGAAATCAGCATTTGTGTGTCTGGATAAATTCTAAGATTTGCAAAAACAGCATCCACCCAAAAGATATTTCAAAAGGGAAGGCGGCTCTCTAGATAAATAGCTCAAAGGGGGCTGAGCATGATCGGCAGGTGTGGGAATGTTGACTCTCAGATGGAAAAGGAAAACAGAGGTGGAGATGATGTTCCAAAGACTGTATTTAGAGCATCCTAAAATGGGACAGGGAACCTGTAGCCCTCCAGATGCTGTAGGACTCCAACTCTTATCAGCCCCCATCCTTTCCCAATGGAAACATCAGGAAAATTGCCAGGCTAGGAGAGATTAAGCTCTACTAATAAATTCACATTACTGATACAATTCAGAAACGAGCAGTATGAAGGAGCCCTTCTCTTCTCTACCCAACTGACCCATCTTCTCTCCCAACTACAGTGGTGCCTTGACTTACATACGCCTTGACCTACGAACATTTTGAGTTACGAACAGCTCCATTTGCAAAACTTTGCTTTGACTTGTGAACGGAAAAAAAGGCAGGGAAAACGGGTGGGAAATTCAAATATACTAATCATTGGTGGCGAAGAGGCTGCTTCTTTGTAGCTCTTTCGCCCCAACGGTTAGAGCAAGGAGTCAGAGAACTTTAAAACTTTTACAATACAGGAAAGTACTGTACCAGGAAGGGATGCAGTGGCCTGGGTCGCTGTTGGGTCCCGTTCCCGCCGGGCCAGGGACTGAGCTAAGCTCACCGTTGGCAGGTGGCTCCTGGGCTGCTCTTCAGGGCTCATCGCCTGATGCAGCCCACCGTTGGTTGACCCAGCAGTGGTCAGTCCCTGGCCCGGGGAGAATAGGACCCGGCAGCGGCATCGGAGCCCCAAAGAGCAGCCCAGGTCCTCAACACAGGGTGAAGGGACCCTGATCCTGGAGGAAGGGTCCTCCCGCACTGCCACCTCCTCCTTCCTGGCGGGCTGCGCTCAGTCCTTGGCCCCGCGGGACCGGGATCCAGCAGTAGCAGTGGCATCGGGCTGCGGAGGTTGGCAAGGAGCGTCGAGGACCGCCACGGCCACGCTGGTGAGCAGCCACTGGTGCTGGTTCTGGAGCAGGAGGCAGCGTCGGGCACCACCAGCAGCAGCAGCGACGCCCACGGAGGCCATCGGAGGAGGCTTGGGGCAGCAGTGACATCAGCCTGCGGAGGCCATCGGAGGAGGCTTGGGACTGCCTATTAAGGTAAGGTGCGGTTCTTGGTTTCTAAAAACTGTTCCGGATCGTTTTTCCAGGGCTGGGGGTGGTCGTTTCTGTGGTGTGTTGTTTGTTTTTTGGTGTGTATGTTTTGCAGTCCCAGTGTGGGGTTTGCAGTGTTTTATTTTTATTTTACTGAGGAATTTTAGGGGTGGGTGTGGAACGCATTAATCTGTTTTCAACGCATTTCTCTGGGAAATGCTGCTTTGACTTACGAACGTCTTCTGGGATGGATTAAGTTCGTAAGTCAAGGCACCACTGTAAACGGCCATGTAGCACAAGAAAGGACTTTTGGATATTCAATTTCAGGAAACCTGTGGTAAATTGTTTTCCAAAAGTCAAGTGGCCTCCACCCACCGGGGGAATGGCACTGAACCAACAGAATCAACAGTCCTGACCTACGCCCAAAATTAAACAGCAGTTAATCTGAGTCTGTGGAGGCAACAAGCCTTGTTTTTAAACAGCTGCCAAATGTTGGAACGCTTGCAGAATGTCACCAGTTCCAAGAAGTGCTGCCAGCGTACCAGTTATTGCAGGGACATTGCATAACAAGTTCACTGAAGGACTGCCTGGAGCTCTCTCTGGCTTTTCATCCAGGGAATCACATGTCTAGAAAGAGGTGGATCAGATGTGGATCAGGAAGCACAATGGCTAGTGTTATTTCCATACAAGGTTGGAAGAATTCTGGGGGGTGGTGTTAATGTTTTGGAACGCCCAACTGACTGCAGTAAGTAAGGGTCAATGCAACCCCACAGCACATAACCCTGTAAGTCCGTGAATTGTTTTCTAATGCCGGGATCCTTTGGAAAACATTAATCTCTTTTCTGAACACTAGATCCTGCCGGGCTGTCACATGGAAAACTTTTTTTGAAACTGCTCCATATTTCAAGTAAAGTGCATGTGTATGCGTG